GAAGATACAGCTAGTACTGGCATCCCTATACCCAAAGAACGAGAAACAGAAGACCCTGCAGCAAACGAAAACACAATAAATACTCATGCTGCTGTTGCTGCTGCTGCTGCTGCTGCTGCTGCTGTTGCTGCTGCTGCTGCTGCTGCTGTTGCTGCTGCTGCTGTGGAGCCTGCTACTGTTGCTGTTGCTACTGATACTGATACTGCTGCTGATGTTGCTGCTACTGCTGCTGCTGCTTCTACTGCTGCTGCTTCTGCTGATACATTATATGTCTGCTGCTGCTGCTGCTGTTGCTGTTGCTGTTGCTGCTGCTGCTCCTGCTGCTGCTGCTCCTGCTGCTGCTGCTGCTGCTGCTGATACATTATATGTGTGCTGCGTCGTTTACAGCTGACGGAGTATTACCTTGAATAGACGGTTGCTGCTGCTGCTGCTGCTGCTGCTGCTGCTGCTCTCGTTGCTGCTGCAGAGAAGCCAGGGTGGGTCCGCCCCCAGCTGCTGCTGCTGTTGCTGCTCCCGCTGCTTCTGCTGCTGCTGTTGCTGCTGCTGCAGCAGCAGCAGCCTGGTCAGAAGGAAGCCCCACTCCCGCCATTTTGCTTCGAGGTGTCTTCTCTCAGCTGCTGCTGCTGCTGCTGCTGCTGCTGCTGCTAGTGTTGCTGTTGCTGCTGTTGCTAGTGTTGCTGCTGCTGCTGCTGCTGCTGCTGCTGCGGTTGCTGCTGCTGCTGCGGTTGCTGCTGCTGCTGGTTTGTAATCCCTTTTGTAGGAACAACAAATCTGTACACAGCTGCAGCCGCAGCACCACAACAACCAACAAACCCTAAACCCTAAACCCTAAACCCTAAACCCTAAACCCTCAAACGTACGATTCTGCGGGGGTTTAGGGTTTAGCGTTTCAAGGGTTTAGGGTTTAGAGTATCAGTGGTTTAGTGTTTTTTAGGGTTTAGTGTTTTTTAGGGTTTATAGTTTCACGAGTTTCACGAATTTTAAGGGTTTAGGGTTTAGGGTTTAGGGTTTAGGGTTTAGGGTTTACCGAGTCCAGCGAATGCTGCAGCAACAGCAGAATAGAAATATCTATCTGCTGTTTGTGGTTTTCTTTTTGCTGCTTGTGCTGCAGCAGCAACAGAGGCCCCAGAGAGGAGACATAAACCTAGCAGCCGGCACTGTAGACAGTCTCCTGCTGCTGCTGCTCCTGCTGCTGCTGCTGGTGCTGCTGGTGCTGCTGCTGCTGCTGCTGCTGCTGCTGCTGCTGATGAGCTGCAGCGGCTTGAAAGGGCTTCGTGCAGCTGCTGCGGCAGAAAGGGTTTCGATAAAGACAAGAAGGAGAGACAGGGGCTGCTGCTGCTGCTGCTCCCTTCAGCCATGATCTGCTGCTGCAGTTGATGCTGCTGCTGCTGCTGCTGCAGTTGATGCTGCTGCTGCTGCTGGAGTCGGTGGTGTTGCTGCTGCTGCTGTTGTTGCTGCTAAGACAAGCAAGGATTCAGGATGTAAGGATTCTGCAACACAAACAGACATGCAAATCCTGCTGTTGCTGCTGCTGCTGCTGCTGCTGCTGCTGTTCTGCTGCTGCTGACGATGAGTTGCTGCTAGTTCCTACTCGCAGGGAATGAGCTGCAACAAAATATAAGAAGACACGCTGAAGACAGGGGCAGCTGCTGCAGCCGTCAATACAGCTGCTGCTGCTGCTGCTGCTGCTGCTGCTGCTGCTGCTGCTGCTGTGTCGGCGGGGCTGAAACTGCTTCTGCTGCTGTCTTGTCTGCTTCGTAGCAGCAAAAATATTTGCTGCAGCAGCAAAAGAAAGAAAGAGAGCAGCAGATGTTGCTGTTCCTTGCAGCAGCAGCAGCAGCGCAGCAGCGCCTCGCATGCAGCAGCAGCAGCAGCTGCTGCTGCTGCTGCTGCTGCTGCGGCGGCGGCGGCAGCAGCAGCAGCAGCTAGGCAATCGATAGAATAAATGCTGATCTATTATTTTAATTTTCTTTGTTTTTTTTATCTCGTCTCAGGTTGATGTGCTGCAGTAGAAGCAGCAAGAAGCAACTGCAGCAGCAGCAGCAGCAGCAGCAGCAGCAGCGGCAGCAGCGGCTGCAGCAGAAGTACCAGCAGCAGCAGCAGCAGCAGCAGCAGCAGCAGCAATATAATTCAATGACTAGAGCGCCCGCTACGTAGCAAAAATATAGCTGGTGTCTTCTTGTATATACACACCAGCAGGAGCAGCAGTAGCAGCAGCAGCAGCAACAGCAGCAGCAGCAGCAGCAGCAGGGTGACCTCCGACCCCAGCAGCAGCAACAACACCAATAGCCGGGGGGCCTCTAGACACAGCGGCATAGCAGCTGCAGCGCAGCAGCAGCAGCAGCAGTAGCGCAGCAGCAGCGCAGCGGCAGCAGCAGCAGCAGCAGCAGCTGCTGCAACAGTAGAAGGGGAGCAGCGCAGCAGCAGCAGCAGCAGCAGTAGGGCAGCAGCGCAGCAGCAACAGGAGCAGCAGATTAGCAGCAGCAATAGCAACTGCAGCGCAGCAGCAACAGCAGCAGTAGCAGCTTAGCAGCAGCAGCAGTAGCAGCTCTGCCGCCGCAGCAGCAGCAGTAGCAGCGCAGCAGCAGCAGCAGCAGCAGCAGCAGCAGCAGCAGCAGTTGCTGCTGCTGCAGCTGAACTATGCGATCGTCTTCAGGGCAGCATCGACGCCCTTAAGGAGGGCAAAGCCGTAGAGACAATGAGTAAGCTTGTCTTGCTGCTGCTGCTGCTGCTGCTGCTGCTGCTGCTGCTGCTGCTCTTGCTGCTGCTGCTTCTTTTTGTGTTGCTGGTGCTCTTGCTGCTGCTGCTGCTGCTGCTGCTTAGAATACCTGAATTGCTTTTGTTGTTGCTGCTGCTGCTGCTGCATGGTGTGTGGGGTTTGTGTGTGTGTGGAGCAGACGATCCCGGGGAGCTGATCGTCTGGCTCTTTGTCTTTGCTCTCATCGTAAGCTGCTGTCTCCTTTTTTTATTTTTATTGTATTTTATTTTATTTTATTTTATTTTATTTTATTTTATTTTATTTTATTTTATTTTATTTTTTTTTTTCTTTATTTTTTTATTTTATTTTTTTGTTTGTCTCCTTTTCTTTCTGTCTCTTTATTTGTCTCCTTTTGTCTTTGCTCTCATCGTAAGCTGCTGTCTCCTTTTTTTATTTTTTTATTTTTATTTTATTTTATTTTATTTTATTTTATTTTATTTTATTTTATTTTATTTTATTTTATTTTATTTTATTTGTCTCCTTTTCTTTCTGTCTATCTACTTGTCTCCTTTTGTCTTTGCTCTCATTGTAAGCTGCTGTCTCTTTTTTCTTTTTTCTTCTTTTTTCTTTATTTGTCTCTTTTTCTTTCTCTCTCTCTTTGTCTGTCTCCTTTTGTCTCTTTCTCTCTTTCTCTCTCTTTGTCTGTCTCCTTTTGTCTCTTTCTTTCTTTCTCTCTCTTTATCTGTCTCCTTTTCTTTCTCTCTCTCTTTATCTGTCTCCTTTTCTGTTTCTTTTTATTTGTCTCCTTTTGTCTTTGTTTCTGTCTCTGTCTCCCTTTATTTGTTTCTTTTTATTTGTCTCCTTTTTCTGTTTCCTTTATATCTTTTCTTTTGCTGTTCATTCAACTGTCTCCTGCTGCTGCTGCTGCTGCTGCTACTGCTGCTGCTGCTACTGCTGCTGCTGCTGCTGCTGCTGCTGCTGCTGCCGTTGCTTCTTCTGCTGCTGCTGCTACCTTTTCTGCTGCTCTTTCTGTTGCTGCTGCTACTTTTATTGTTGCTGCTGTTTCTCCTGCTGCTGCTGCTCCTTCTGCTGCTGCTCCTGCTGCTGCTGCTGCTGCTGCTCCTCCTCCTGCTGCTGCTGCTCCTGCTGCTGCTGCTGCTGCTGCTGCTGCTGCTGCTGCAGGCATCGATAGCATCTATCCTGGTGGTATTGACCCGCCACAGACAACGAGCAGCAGAAGTAAGACAGCTGCAGCTGCAGCAGCAGCAGCAGCAGAACGGGAGAGACAGAGACTCCCAGCAAAGGAGACAGCAGCAAGCAGCACTACTCAGACAAATAGAACAAGAGGTAAACTTCTTGCTGCTGCTGCTGCTGCTGTTGCTGCTGCTCCTGCTGCTGCTGCTGCTGCTGCTGCTCCTGCTGCTGCTGCTGCTGCTCCTGCTCCTGCTGCTGCTGCTGTTGCTGCTGCTGCTCTTTTTCTTGCTGTTGCTGCTGCTCCTGGTGCTGCTGTTTCAAGCTCCTGCGATGCACGCTGCTGCTGCTGCTGCAGCTGTTGTTGCTGCAGCTGCTTCTGCTGCTGCTGCTGCTGCAGCTAAACCCTAATTCACAAAGACAAACATTCATTTTGCTCCTGCGTTGTTGCTGTTGCTGCTGTGCTGCTGCTTTGCTGCTGCTGCTTTGCTGCTGCTGCTTTGCTTCTCTACTGCTGCTGCTTGTCTGCTGCTACTGCTGCTGCTGCTGCTGCTGCTGCTGCAGTCTGCTGCGCTGCTGTCAGCAATTGGTTTGCCCCGGCTGGGCACTCTCCTCCATCGAGAAGCATGGCAGCACAACTTAGAGGCAAGCAGCAGCAGCAGCAGCAGCAGCAGCAGCAGCAGGAGCAGCAGCAGAAGTAGCAGCAGCAGCGGCAGAAGTAGCAGCAGCAGCAGCAGAAGTAGCAGCAGCAAAAGTAGCAGCAGCAGCGGCAGAAGTAGCAGCAGCAGCAGCAGAAGTAGCAGCAGCAAAAGTAGCAGCAGCAGATACTACAAAACAGCAGCAGAAACTGCAAGGCAAAGTAGAGAGAGAAAGTGCAGCTTTAGATTGATTGGTGTAGAGCTAGGGTTTAGGGTTTAGGGTTTAGGGTTTAGGGTTTAGGGTTTAGGGTTTAGGGTTTGTGTGCAGAACTGGTGCCCTGCGAAGCCCTACGAGAAGGTGAGCCCTAGCTGTCTCCTTTGCTGCTGCCGTTGCTGCTGTTGCTGCTATTGCTGCAGTATCTGTTTCTGCTGCTGCTGCTGCTGCTGCTGCTGCTGCTGCGGTTGGGGGAGTGGCTGCGCTCTTCTACTGAAATGGTTTAGGGTTTAGGGTTTAGGGTTTAGGGTTTAGGGTTTGGATACAGCGACAGCAACAGATAGAGACAGCAGCAAAAGGAGACAGCAGCAGAGACAATATCCTCATCGTGCTGCTGCTGCTGCTGTTGCTGCTGCTGCTGCTGCTGCTGCTGCAGGTGCGCGAGGCGCTGGAGTTGGAGGCTGCTGCACAAGCATCCAGCAGCAGCAGCAGCAGCAGCAGCAGCAGCAGCAGCAGCAGCAGACCTGTAGCAGTAGCAATAGCACCGGAGGTGCAGCAGCAGCAGCAGCAAGAGCAGCAGCAGCAGCAGCAGCGGGATCTTGAGTTAGGCGTGCAAGAACAAGAAGCTGCTGCTGCTGCTGCTTCTCCTGCTGCTGCAGCTGCTGCTGCAGCACCCGCAGGGCAGCCAGCAGCAGCAGCAGCAGCAGCAGCAGCAGCAGAAGGGGACGCTCAGCTGCGTGGCGGTAGAGCGACACCAATAGAAGAAGCAAACACAGTGTAAGCAGCAGCAGCAGCAGCAGCAGCAGCAGCAGCAGCAGCAGGAGCAACCGCAGCAGCAGCAGCAGCAACACTAGCAGCAGTAGCAGCAGCAGCTGCTGCAGCTGCAGCACCAGAACAGCCCTAAATAAATAAATAAATAAATAAATAAATAAATAAATAAATAAATAAATAAATAAATAAATAAATA